TGACGTCTACAAAAACATGACGGAATATGGTGATAGGTACGGAGGTAAGTCCGAGCGATACGTCCGTATAGTGAAGGAATAAAAATAGGGAGTGTCACCACCTCTGTTCATGTGTCGTAAGCCTACTAAAGGAGCAAACTACGTAGAACAACGGCACTACGAAGAAAAGGGAAACTTGACACAAACCCTATACCAACCCGCCTGACCAGGGTGGTGTAATAGGCCAAAACCTCATTTCTAAGGAGAGGCCTATGTCGAGCAGTGGACTCTTAAAGGCTATGATAATGATGACAGAGGTACAGGTCTTAGTTCCGTTTCTCCAATCGAGATCTGTGGTATTAACCTCGACTTGTCTGTTTTCCTAAACCCAACTTTTGCCTTTGTCCTGTCTGAAAACGAATTTATTCCCTGGGAGTTATAGTGTCAGGAAGATGGAAGACAAAAAAAAAGAAATAAAAACTCCCAAAAATAGTGGACCCCTAGTAAAATTGCTAATAGTAGTGAAAATTATGATGGCTTTTTGATATATGACCAGTAGAGACAAGCAAACGCAACGCGGTATCACCGTCATTCATTACCTTTCTACATCATTCCTAGTAAACTATTATTCACTGGCGAAAAGCGAGCGTAAGGTAATAGATCACTGTTCTCTGATCAGGAGGTCCAGTGATTTTCATTTCTCTCTTTCTCTTAAAAAATACAACGCCCACACTAGGAACGTATCCTGTGTCGCTGGATACTATGCAAACATACATGAAACTGACACAAAGAATACCCAATATGTTCCCAAATATTGTCCTTTCCTGCCCGTAAATAAAGGTTATACCTTAACCAAATAGAGATCAGTGACAAACTGTCTTTACTGCCTTCACACAAATCCAAAACCGGCAAAACTCAGCGGACTTTAATGCTTGCAGTCATAAAAGTATTACAATTCCGAACCGATGCCCGACGCACTGGTCTGTGTCAGTCCCCTTCGTCGTTACAATCACTGCCCCCTTGTTCAATCAAAGGGGCCTAGGCCCCTAATGACCTTGGCAGAAGATTAGCAACCGTGCCCCTCAACTAAACCAGAGTCAGCGAAGTTGTGTACCGAGTTTAACTAGATTACCTACCTTGACTAAAATTAACCCTAATAATTCAACTTAAAGAAACTTTGTGTGTACTTCAAAACCTTTTTTTTAAATTAAAATCGTTCTATTTCTCAATCACAGCGCCACTCCTATGAGCTTGCATGGTTGGTCAGCTTTAGTCTATACTAAAGCTGACCAATCGTCTACTCGTATGCTAAATATTTTATGGCTGGCAATTTATGTGTCATACAATTTTGTTTCACAAAGGCAGTCTTGATACGATATGACGTACTCGATTTTGATGTGAATGTTATTCTGCCGTTGCCGCTTCGAATTTTAAAAGCATTTTTGTACGAATTATTATTATACATAGGATATCCTAACAGAGCTGTTTTGATTAAAAACTAACGTTCATAACCTTCACTTTTTTTCATTCTCTAACTACTAATATCAAGGTTCTTTTTTTAAATTACATTTGATTTAAAACAGACAGCGTCATTTTAATAACAATTCATGTCAATTCATGTGATTCTAAGATATTTTTTTTGCTTATAATCGTTGTCGTTTCATTTCCATGTATTTAATAGACGTTACTAGTAATGTATGGTTAAAAGAAAAACCTTTGGGGGTGACGGTGAACACTAAAGATCAAAACGAGCGTACACTCTCTGTAGCATTCTCTTGTCATGTACTTATATTTCCCCAGAGTCTTCATGAAGAGGATTTCTCTCATGCTATTAGTATATTTACAGCAGATTAAAAATTGAATTAAGTTGGAAATAAATATTATATTGGGGTAAATGGAAGTCTTGTCCATGTCTACAGCGCTTTTTTTTGTTTTTTTTGTCCGCGCCATTAATTCTTGCTTTATTAAAAGAAATACAATGTCTGCGTACATAGTAGTTATTAATGAATACCAAAGAGTTTTATACCCTACCGTACATAAGAAGCCAATAACTTAAGACTTTCCTTTTACCGTTTGGATTGTTTATGTCGAAATTGAAATGACTAAGAATCACGCATTGTTCTGTCAATTGTGAGTCTATTGTAGGGACTAAGGTTATAACCAGGAACTCCGGCAGACCTTGATTCCCTTAGGCAGCCACACCATTGCATGCAGAGGGCAATCGAAAAGAGAGCAAACTTATCGATTTAGCGAGGTGTGATTGGAACACATTATGCCACCATCTAAGGCCTGCTTCTGCTAGGGTAACGAACAACTTCACCTGGTCTAGTCTGGCATAGACAATGAATGTTCTTCATTTTCTCATTAATTATCTTATTAGTTTAAATGAAGCTCAAAATCACCCGTAATGCCATGATTCCACGATCATAACACACTACTCCACCATTTGCGGCTTGATAGTTTTTAAAGGACCCATTTCCATAAAATAAAAACATAAAAGTACCATACGGTTCTTTTTATTGTTTATCATATCAAACCTACCAGATTCGATCACCCATGACAAATAATTGTGTTATGAGCACGATCATTTGTTCTGTGTCTGGATGCAATTGGAACGAAATTCCTTATCGCGTGTTACACACTCTGAGTGGATGGGAGCGAACCCAAAAAATGTGTAACAAGACTTTTTTTCCGACACTTTTTTGCTATAGTTACAGCCGTGTATGAACTATATACATCGCCGAACACAACTCTCCCGCGCAGTAGTAGCAGCAGTAGTAGCAGTAGCTAAACCCCGCGCCCACAACATTTAGAGCGGCATTCAGCATTTAATTTATCGTTATTTATTTTATACATAATAAATTTATTTTATCATATTTTTTTTAAATTTAACTCTATTAACTTGAAATTTTGTAATATAAATTATACTTACTGTAAAATTAAACGTCCACCAAAAAGCGACAGGAACTTCGTTCTGACCGGATGTCCATAGATCCCTCACGCCGTTTTTTATCTTTTTTTTATGTTAGAGGGGTCAGACGAGCAGACGGTTCACCTGATGGAAAGTGACGATCGCCGCCAATGAACGTCTGCAACTCAGGAGTCACAAATGTATAATCCATAATATGTATGTATTTAGAAATATTTGAGTATGTTTAGAAATATTTAGTACAGGTTTGGGATCAGATCGCCTTGTGTGAGATGTGTGCAGTTATTATCATTATTCCATGAGTAGTTACTTTTACGTCACTACAAAAATATTCCCACTTTTTCCTATTCGTACGATATGACGTCATGTTTTCTTTTCCTCGCCGAGTACAAAGTAATGTGTCAGGAAAGGTAATATGCGGCGAGTTAATTGAATTCCTTGCGTCATAAATAATATCTATCCATCGTACCTACACCTGGTTGTAATAAATGTCAGAAACTGTCAGTGCCTATATCCAAACATATTAAAAAAAATACCACATACCACACGTAATTAGAGCGGGAATTTCTTAGTAATGACATTAGGTTTAGTACAGAAATGCGTTGTTAATAACGTCGAGAAAGACTTAATATTAAATTTGGTAAACCTTTGAATATATTAGGTAATTTTTGAAGTGAAAACTTCTAATTTAGTTTGGCATTTTTGAACCACATTTTTCGAGATGGGAAAAAAACATTGAACTCGCTACACTGTTACCTTTACCGACACCTCTGTTTATAAGTACATAAGTTTTCACTTCTCTCGGCTCTCCCGGAGTGCCACTGCTTTTTTTTATGCTATAGGGGGGAAAATGAGCAGACGGATCACCTGATGGTAATTATCTTCCGCCGCTCATACACACCTGCAATTCAAAAGTTACAAGTAGGTTGCCGCTCTATGAGTCCTGAAGATTCAGGGGAAGGGTAGGTTTGGGCTCCGGTGACATAACTCACTTGGTGAAAAACAACGAAAAAGTTGCTTAAGGCCGTGGCAGCTCCGGTCTAGGTTTTCCTGCGGATAAACTAATTGGATTTAAATTGGTTCAGCGGTTATTGATTCTCCATACATACTTCCACCACCCTTTTCAACTCCATAAAGTGTGATAATAAAAACTATCCCACGTAATTTCCCGAAACTCAATCTATCTCTATACCAAATTTCATCTAAATCGGTTTAACTGTTTCAACGTGTAGAGGTAATAGACAGATAGACACTTTCGCGTTTATAATATTAGTATGGATGGTAGACGGGCCTTTTAGTCTAGTGGTGAGTTATCACCTTCTAAGCAGAAGGATTTATGCTATAGTGATTATAATATACAGTTGTATAATTTGTTTGAATTATCTGAAAAAAGTGTGCGATTAATTCAATACGTTGTTCAATAAAACAGGATTCACATTAATTGTAGCTAATTATAACAAACAGGCGAAATTGAATTATAGGTAACATTCAATATCTCAAATATCATAGTTCATACTCATCAACAGCCTTTAACAGTCCACTGCTGGACATAAGCCTCTCCTTAGAAAGGAGGTTTTGGCCTACTATACCACGCTGACCAGACGGGTTAGTATAGGGTTTGTGTCAAGTTTTCCTTCTCTCTGCAGTGCTGTTGTTCTGCTGCTGCGTAGTTGGCTCCCTTAGTATAGTTCATACTACTACAGCAAAAGTATTACAAATAACAGACATTTTAATTTTTAACTCAATGGTTGTTACGGTGTTTGATAACGACTGCTGTGTCTTCGGAACACTTCCCATCCACTTTAAACTTTTTTTTGCTCTCTTAGTCGACTTTTACAAAATCCACGGGATGATAGGGGTGTTGGCACTCTGTGTTCTTGATCCATCACCACACGGACAGGAAATTGTACCATTTTATTCAATTTTCTATTTTTGTAGTTGGATTCAGCTAGACACTTAATTTGAAACAGGTAGTGGCTGTTAACATAATAACACTCTGCGAACCAACAATCCTTTTCCTGCGTTTACCTGCATGTAAAGTGTGTATATAAACTCATTATAATTATTTCTGGCTTTACTAAGGTGTCAGAAAATGAAGTATCTTGTGCTCTGTATAGTTAGTTTTTGCATTTTCGCAAAACATGTGACATGTCACAGGTACTATAATGACACAATATTGCCGGATATCGCGTCGCAGCAGTTGCTTGAATTTAGACATCAGCACTCGGTATGTAAATTGCAAATATCAAGAGATAATAATTAAGTTTTCAAATAAAGATGTTTCATCTTTACGTATAAAACTACTTACTCTGACCGACTGCCTGATGCATCAAGGCCGGGCCTAAATCACTGAGGCTATAAACTTTAAATGTTAACAGCTGATGCTTTTTATGTCGTGAGCATCTAATATGAAACGATTTTTGGAAATCTCACCCCTAAAATAGGGATGAGCGGTTGTGAACTTCGTTATTTTCAAAGTTAGAAATAATCAGAGCGAAAACGCGAGCAATAGGTAGTTAATTTATAAAATGAAACCTCTCTTTCATTGAGGTTTAATAAAATCTATTTATTAACGTGTTATATAAACCTTTATGTTTTGTTATATTATACTAGATTTTATATAAGAGTATTAACAGAAATATAGTTCACGTTCGAATTACCTTTACTTACCTTTTTGAATAAAACAATTTCTTGATTAAGAAGAAAAACAATATTTTATTTTTAATGTATTGTTTTAAGTTATATTTTATATTAATAAAGACAATAATAAAATCTCTTAAGGTAATTACTTATTTTAGAAATACATCCATGAATATTAATAATAGTCGTGATCTAAACTTTCAGAGGCCAATAGGGCTGATGACAAAGATAACTGGTGAACCGACGGATATAAGAGATACCGTTACACTAAATACAGAGATATTTGACAATCGAAACTTCTTCCGACTCATGTCCCATCAAGACCGAGAGAGAATACCAGAACGTGTTGTGCACTCAAAAGCTGGTGGCGCATTTGGATATTTCGAAGTAACTCACGATGTCTCAAGGTATACCAAAGCCGATGTTTTCAATGAAATCGGAAAAAGAACGCCGGTAATGGCTCGATTTTCCACAAACAGACAAAAACTTGGTGGAAATGATGTAGGTCGTGACGCCAAAGCAATAGCTCTAAAAATGTACACCAACGAAGGAATTTTAGACTTCTTAACTTTCCACATACCACTCTTCTTCTACAAAGAACCTATGAAGTTTAGCATAAATGGACATGCGTTCAGAAGGAATCCTCAAACCACTTTGTTTGACAATATAATGCGCTGGGATTTCATGACTTTGCGACCAGAAATAATAACTTCTAATTTATTCCTGATGTCAGATCTTGGCATACCGGATGGATACAGAAAAACCGATTATTTCCCGTTGCACGCATATGAAATATATAATAAGCATGGTGAAAGATTTTTCGTTAAATTCAATTTCCGAACGGAGATAGGTCTGTATAACTTAACCAATGCCGAAGCAATGGCAATCGGAGCCGAAGACCCTGATTATTTTAACAGAGACCTATATAACGCAATTGCTGCAAAAAAGTACCCGTCGTGGAGACTGGAAATGGACATTCTAACAAAAGAAGACGTACAGAGAGTAGATTTCGATCCCTTTGACATGACAAGGTTATGGAGAAGAGGCACATACCGTACCGTGCCCATTGGACGATTGGTGATGAACCGTAGAGTTGATAACCATTTTAGAGACATAGAACAGGCTGCCTTTTCACCTGATAACTTAGTGCCAGGAATCACAGGTCCGGTGGATATAGTCTTCAGAAGTCGAAAGATTTTCTATCCTGATGCACAAAACTATCGCTTAGGAGTGAATCACGCAAACATAGCTGTGAATGCTCCACTCTATGAGAAGACATATAGTCGTGATGGAGTTGCGCCTGTGTTGGATAACATGAAAGATGCTCCAAATTATTTCCCGAATTCTTTTAACGGGCCTTTACCTTATGTGGATGAAGCGCGGCCAAAAGACTTGACCATAGTTTTGCATAGTAACGCCATAGATTTACAACCTGCATCAGAATTTTATAATGAAATTGTAGAAAGCGATGCACATAGACAAAGGATTGCTGAAAATGTAGCATCGTCCTTAATGTCAGTAGTCGATGATGTAGAAAAGAGAGCTTTGCTTTTGCTTACTCTAATAGACGTGGATTTGGGCCGACGTGTAAGTATATCCCTGAAAAAGATGAAAATGGTGTCTTCAGAAGAAAAACGAGACCGACTCACACAATGTTTCGCTCATCCGAGTCAGCATTATCATTATTATTAGTGTACGCGCAGCGCGGTAATAAAATATAAATGAAACATATATATGCTCAATAATAGTTTACCTATTTTAGTGCGAATAAAAGTATCCTGTAAACTTTATTCCGTCAGTCACAAATACGAATTTCAAAACACCGATTTTCATAATGCCGAATATAACAACTGCGATTTATCATTCATCCTATTTTTATAATTAAAAAATTTCAATATTAAAATACCTAACGGATTACTTTAAATAGGAATGACAAAGGTTTATAATTACTATTCTCAAAATACCGAGATTCAATAGATCGAATAACGAAAATTCCAACTGTATGATAATTCGAAACATCTAAAATTCACCATTCAATAGAGCGCATCGGGTGGTGGTTTAATGGCGACAGTTCGAACCTTTTTTTTTTTTTTTTTTTAACGTGTGGAATACCCTCGGACCGTCACCCCACCGGGGTTTGCGGCGGGGTGGTGTGTCGGACTCGGACCGACTAAAACCACACGGTGTGCCACTCTGCGCCTGTAATAGGAGGGATCCGGGAACAGCTGTTATTAAGACATCCGGACCCCTCCTAGCGCCGGCCCGCTCCTGTAGCGGGCTCCGTCTCAAAATTTTCCTCTCTTTTTAGGCGACGTCCGGCACACGCGGACGCCGCCCTCTCGCGGCTGGCCAAACTGCGACAGTTCGAACCTAACCTAACCCAAATGATTCAGCAGTCATAGAGAGTATCTGGCGAAAATCACTGTTCTTACCGTTCTTACCTGACCTAACTCACGGAATTCAATAACTGTAGATAGTACGCAATGCAGGTATAAGGAGAAGAAGAAAACACATTTATTTATTAAAAACAAAGTAGACGTTTGTAAATTACATTAAACGTTACTTATGGATTTAGAATATTATACTAACTGAATCAGAATTCTAATTTTAGCAGTTTATTGGAAGTATTGAAAATAGGTGTATCGTTTTTCGGACCGAGAACACATCGAGAATTTGATAAGAATCAACGATTAAAAATCGAACGTTTAAAAATCGGAAAACAAAAAAGTCGCATTTACGACTTTCAGTAAATAAATTTCGTGAATTTTAATAATAGACATTATAATTCTTAGGTATTATGAAATTCGGACTTTTAAAAGTCGGAACATCGAAATTCGGAATAAAATATTTCGGAGTATTTGGGTGTTCCCATCCTGAGGACTAATCCAGTAGCATGACTAATTGTTGACCAAAAATGAATATTACCACTTAACATTTCCAATTCGTCAGGTTTAATACCAACAAAACTTATCTTAGTTAAACTTTAATCGAAGTAAGGAAAGAAGATAGTATACAGGAAACACCTAATGGAAAAGAGATGGTATAGAAACATGTTATTTTAATCTAAAGAAACATATGACATGTAGGGTAATATTATATACTATTTTAAATTCATAATATCATATTGTTTAAAGTTAGAAGTTGAATTTGAAACAAAAAATTTAAAACTTCTAATTTAAAAAAAAAATGTAACTAGGTAAGTAGTTATGTATGTGTATGTATTTGGTACGTATGCATATTTACCGTATATTTTATTATCAATAATTTTCTTTTACTTCACATATCACCGTCTAGTGCACCTAGCCACACATTTTAGCATCACCCAAAGATAGACTGGGAGAAAATGCCTATAGCATTAAGTCCGCCATTGTACAACTCATACTTGTGCATAAAGAATTAAAGTAAAATAAATAAATAAAAACGCTCCTCTTTTTGGTATGACGAGATATATTTAAATGGTTAGGTGCATATATCCTCTCTTCTTCTCTTGTATAGAAAAAAATAAATTTAAGGAAAGTCCCTTAAACTTTGAGAGTGAATGATTTTATAAATCGTCTAACCCAAAGTATGGGGTGTTATAAGACTCTCTAAGTCGAAACAATCTGTTTCAGTATGGATTACTTTCCACAACTCGAGAAAATAAATGTAACCTGTATATCTGGAACAAAACATATGTTTGCTTTTACAACCTTTAAAACTCGATAGTTTTAAAACAATAAAATTTTATTTACTCTAGTTACACAAACCTATTTTACCGCAGCTGAAGAACGCTCCGCGACCAGTTATGAGCAGGTTCCGGCATCTTTTACTTGAGGTGCAGTACCCTGACTGATAGGCTGGTATTCTTGTCACATACGCGTCAAGCTTCATTTGTTACAGAGATTTTCGGCTTCTTGGCCTCGAAAAGCAAAATTCTTAAAACTTTGGCCATATAGTAATTTTTTATTTACAGACACTTCGCCAAGCAGTTATTTCACTCAATCACTGTAGAAGGCACAAATTTTTGTGATTTATTTCCGTAAGGCCTATCTTAATTTCACTTACCCGTCTATATAACAGAATTACATGCACTGGACATTGCCTAGTTAAAATAATAAATTATTTCCATACGAAAACAAATTTAGCCATCGCGGGACGTCCGGCAGATGAGAAACATCGAAATTATTTTGTAGAAATAAGAAGTATAAAAGAGTCACTTGAGCATGGCGACGCGTCGCCACGCCACATGACATATTAAATAACATGGCGAGCCATACCGCCAAACCAACAGCCAATATGCCACATGTCTGCAATTGTAATCAGCTATTGCCAATAAAATAGGTATCATACCTCATAACTATTATTGCGTTTAGGTATTAATTTACTTTTTTAACTAGTTGGACCCTCGACTTCGTTTACGTGGAATTAGAATTGAAAATGTTTGTAGTACTTAGTAAAATATTATCAAAATCGGTCCAACCGTTTGGAAGATTACACGGAACGGAACGATATAAATAATAGAATTTAGATATGCATACCAAAGTAAGCAGTTTAGAAGAAAAAAAAACAAAATTTATCCATCCACCTTCAACATCATCATCATCAACAGCCTTTAGTAGTCCACCGCTGGACTACTAAAGGCTGTTGAGGCCTCTCCTTAGAAACACCTTAAACATGATTTTAAAATTATTTGAGTTGTTTTTCCATGGTGAAAGGGTGTAAAATAACTTCCAATCTCCGACTTTCGGATCAACGCAATCGCAGTGATGCAGGACTCAAGACTATGTAGTGTTACTAACGATTTGAGATGGTCCCTAATAGCCAATTTCATCATTAAACAGTTTGTAATTACATTTTCTTAGTAACAGTGTACGTTTACTTAGAAACTTAACGACTCTTAACACACCTAGGGGAGAACTAATGAACCTTTAACAGTGGACGACAAAGTACTACTTTAGATAGGACATAATGATAGACTGTAATTTTATTTGATTCAGTAAGTAGACTATCGCTTATATGTAATGCAATATCGATAAATTAGTTTGCATGATTTAAGTTATCTAATAACTTCAAACTTGCAATTCTTAAATACATATTTGTATATCAATTTATTGTTTGTATTTGGAAATTGGTCTAAAGTTTTGCTGTTTAATTTTATCTATATAAGTATGTTCCTAAAAATACAATTTGCCAAAAATAATGCCGCTTAATGGACCGATATGACTTGAGGAAGTGGCTGGCAGAGGATGAGTGAAGATTGCCCAAGACCGGGATAGTTGGTGCCCCTTGGTAGTTGAAGGACTTCGTTCAGTAGTAGACGGCGATAGGCTATGATGATCAAAATTGCACAAGACATCCCAAAAAAATTAAATTTAAAGGTATAAATCAAATACACCACTCGCAAGTCTTTAAAGCCATTAGGAAAAAAATGGTGATTTCAATGGTGATTTATTTTATGACTATACCTTTCTTTTCATGCCAGTAATACAAGAACACAAAAAAAAAACAATTCCAATTATATTTTTCATATTACAACAGCATTACGTACCTATGCTATTGAAAAAAAAAACCAGGATAATGATATCAGGATTGGCAGGTAAAAATTATTCTCAGCCGAAAGATGTCCACTGTTGAACATAGGCCTCCGCTAAGTTTTGCCAGAACAACCGTTTCTAAACTGCCCTCATCCAAGTATTTCCCGCAACCTTCACCAGGTTGTCGTTCCACCTTATGGGGGACCTACCCACGCTCCTACGATATGTATTACTACTGCGTGGGTATTATTTACGACATAGAAGGTAAGCGAAGGTAAGTGGCTACCACCGTCGTTGTGGGTTCAATCCACACATAGGACAATACTTTGTGTGATCCATAATATGCTGTTCTAAGTTTGAGTTGTCTTTGTGTCCGTTTCTGTATATTCCTAGTGCACGAGCTGTCTTTTAATAAAGACAAAAAATCAAAAGTGCGTTTCCAGCCTTTGAAATGGATGCAAGATCACTCAAGGACGAGCCGGTTCACATGTACCGAAGAATGATTCTCCAACGAATGAGTTACTGGACTCAAGGAATGTAAGAAATTTTTTTTTTTGAATAATGCAGTCGAGCAGACACACAGCAACATTAAAAAAACTCAAATTAAGAATGTCTGTTTTTAAATATTCTGTATCAAAAAAAGAACATTGAACTTGACATACATAGTTCGATAATTTAATCAATGGTCTAACGATGGTCTCTGTAAAAACTCTTTCATGCCCTATCAGCCCTTTCATCATAAATGCCCTTGACCGAATAATTATTTATCTTGACTTGCTTAGATGTACAACTACCCATGTGAAAAAAAATATCTGCCTCAACATTTCAAATAAAAAAACATCAAATACTTTTTCTTGAGACTTTAACTATCATCATGAGTGATACAGGCTATGTGTTAAGCCTGGGTGTCAGCTACCTCCATACAAAATTATATCTAAATTGGTCCAGCCGTTTGAGCGTGAAGAAGAAACAAACATACAAACACATAGCTGTGATTGGGTTCTCTGAAGTCTAAATGCTAAAATAGATACGAAAACTGTTGCATTTATACGTGGAATAAAAAATATTTTATTGGGTTCGCAATCAATTACATTACGATGCATAAATTAAATGCACATTCTTGTTCCATTGACTAATGCTTCCCTTGTATATAAGTTTTTGATCAGGAAACAATGTAAT